TTGAGGCTTTTTTGTGAATTTCAATTCACAAAAAAGTGAATTGAAATTCAGACTTTTGTCCGCTTCGGCGTGCCATACATTTATACTAACTACTCACTCTAGCTAACATTTATTTCGTGTGCGTATTCAATTCATGACTGTTTTTATTTGTCCGTATAAGTAATAACACATATATAAAACAGGCATACCCCATACAAAACCCGGCATAAAACGATAAATCGGTCTTCTCGATAATGTTTTTTACGTCTCATCAACTGACGCCTCGAATGCTACGATACTATGCCGATCTCCATTCCCGAAGGGTGTTGGCACACTTTGGAATTCGAAAATATCTTCCCACTACAGATGGTATTTCAAAGGAAAAAAAGAATCGAGTTTATGAAGTTAATAACAACCAATATACTATCCCGAACGAGGAATTGACTCAGTGGAGGGATGCATTTGATCTTGCGACAGCAGCTATAAAAGCTCGTTCAAACGACGCAAATTGGAATTGGAATGACGCAACTGAACGACCCTTGAATGAGTCGAGTACAATAATTGCAAGTTTCGTGGCACGAGGAAAAAAGAGACGTCGCTATAAGTATGAACGTAAATATTGGTGGCTGCATATGAAGGCATTGAAAGAAGAACTTGATAACATATCGCAGAGGGAATTGGAAATGCGTGAGTGCACAACAAAACTGCTTAAACTCGAAGGAATATGCAATGTTCGGTCAGCCTTGGAATACATTGGGAGGCAGGTAAGACTTTGTGTTGTTTCAATAAAAAAAATTATTTTTGCCCTTTATTTAGTATGTTTTTCCGCAATAGTTTGTTTGCGCTGGATCAAAAGAATCTGTCGGTACAATATTATCGCAATTATCTGAGCAAAAAACCTTTGGGAGTTATCTTCAAAACGTATGCAATTTAAACAACATCACCCTTGAATCTGTGAAAGAGTGTTTTAATAATCTCTATGATGCATCATTGAAAGACACTAATGATTACAGAGATGAGATTGTAATTTGTGCAGAGTATTGGGACGTAAACGAGATAATTGCTTTGAGTGCTATTTTCAGGCACTTTCACGTGAAATTTATTTATTGGGACAGAGTCTCAACAGAAGCAGAATTTCCATATGAGGTACCATATTGGTTACCGACACTCGAATACCATAAACCAAGATTTGCAGAGACTATGCGTCATTTTGGTTGCCACGATTTAGATTAGCATCAAAGGGTGAGTGGTTCTGCATTGTATACACTTTTTGCTTCGTTTCAGTTTTACGTAGTTGACGTTGTTGGGACAATTACAAATGTCAGAGATTCACATGTTCTCGCATGCCCTATAGACAACTTAGGATGTTATCTCTTGTCGTACTTTCCCATTACGTAAGAAGGCTTCCCAAACAAAACTTTTTGCCAGTCTCTTGGCCAACCCGTTCACCGTTGACCAACATACACGCTACAAATGGTAATCGCACGTATGCCTGAATACCCATTGCATTCATTAATTCATGTAACGATTCAATACGACATGAAACGACACTTTGGTCAAGGTCGAATTTGAGTGCGCTGTTTCATAACGTTTAAAAAATGGAATCTCTTTTCAAACCTTTTTTGCGAATGTACGCCAATCGTATCCGTTTTCAAATCTTTTCATTATCGTCTTCAGCAGTGTCGTTATCAACGCCTGAAGGCAAGGCAGTCGGAACTTGGTTAATTTTCAAGATTGTGATGTTAACTATTAGTTTGTACTGATTTACAGTTTCAAAACACTGTCAACGGGTTTCCGTATTAGTATAAATAATTAAGACTACCCTCTGACGAATAGTTTTTAGAAAAATGCCAATATGACTAGAATTAGAAATTGAGCACGTACGTAACATATTACTGGTTGATCAACACGTCATCCCACAAGATGACTCACATGAGCCGGAAAAAAAAAGAGAGAAAGAAAGAAGAAAGAGAGGTTCATAATTATATACTAACTAAATTAACTACTAAAGCATATCGGATAACCAATGAAATCTATAAGACTAGAAAAATGAACAAGTCTGATGATTTTTTGACGTTGCGGCTAAATACCACTATAATCAAAACATATATGATGGCAATTGAAAACATGGACTTATGTTAAAGGCAGTCTGACGGTTTGTTAATTTGATATTCATTCTTAATTAATCCCCAATATAGTTTAAACTGGACCAGTTTGTCACGTCTCCTAAAAAATTTATTCTCTCACACTATTTTGACTTCTCCTGATTCCCTTTCCTCGTTCTCTCCTACCTCCGACTCCCCGACCCCCTCTCCTAACCTTCCCTCTCTCCTCTCGCTCCTTCCCCTCCCCATTGCGATTAATTGATAGGCATTCTTAAATCCGCGAAGCAAGCCAACTGCGGTTTGGGTTTTCCAAAGCATACTCACATCAACACGACGGACCCTTTTCATCGATCTTAATCTTACTCACAAAATCGTAATTTTATACGCAAGTGAAGCATGGCTCTGGTCAACGGTTTTGCCTTGACCTGTAAGAATATGACCGACTCGGACACCGGCAAAGTCAAAGAGAGATGCGCCTGCGATTTTAGAATCAATATATTTGGATGTCCAGAGTCAAACGCGTTGATCATCTTGTATTACGTATTGCTTGTTGTAACTATAATTCACGGCATCGTCAGTGGATACTTTTTGTATCACGGAGTGGTCAGACGACGGATGAACGTGTTCTTCCCGCCTACCAGAGACAGAGGAGTATTAAGACCGAAGCCGCAAGACGCATTCCATATCATGGTCGTCATATTTTCGATTAGTAAGTTGTTTCAAAGTTTTATAGAGACGGTAGTGACCTAAGAGAGATACGACAAACTTTGTACCTGCGTTGGGCAAAGCAGAATCCGTTTGGAGCAATACATTAATAAATGCGTTATTCTTGTTTGTTTAACAGTGCAGATAGGGTACATATCCGTGTTGCTATCCAACGGATGGGCGAACACCCGAGGAGCCGAGCGTAAGTGTGCGAGTAGATTGACGAACAGCATCTTTTCGTAGTCGGTACAATCAAGATCTGCTATTTATATTTGTAGTTGGTCATAATTTGCCACGTGTGGTAGCATTCGGATTAGCCGGGATGCTACCCATCAGCATAGGTACGCAATCTAACCCAATTTATTGAACCTGAACATATTCGCACGAAATGAGAGTATGATAAACATGGCGTTTATTTAATAGATTTATATGATCTCTGCTGTTTAATCCAGCCTATTCGACCCCAGCAACATCTAACGAGACGAGCTTATGGGCACCAAGTAAAACCATCCTTGATGTGCTTGGATTCTTCCAGATAATTGGCCCGGCACTCACCCAACTTCCTCTCTCGTGGACTACGGGAACGTTTGCTGACAAAGGCGATGTGCTAAACGCTCGAAGGTTTTTCGAAATCCAATATATGGTGGTAGGGATTTGGTCCGGATTGTATACGGGTATAGTTTGGATAGTGTGGTACAATCTAAAAAAGATCTTGAACGAGCATCACCAGATTTTGAGGGAGCGAGTGATCTCCGATAACAAATGGAAACTGATGATGCTAAAAAGAGTTGAAGGAAAGGTAAGTTTGTACACGTGCCCTATTATGGGATGATTGTTAGTATTAAAGTTTGCTTATCTAATCAACGCCGAAATCCCCCATTGTACAAACTTATCGTACGATTTTTGCATTTTGTTTAGTTGACAACAGTATCCATGGCCTTTACCCAAATTAGTTTCGTCTATATCTTTGCATCGTTCATAGGCGAATTTTTCCACGAAAACTTGATATTTATTCGTGCCGTCTATTTCTTGTGCTTTGCTGTATGGAATTTTACCATGCCAGTAGCATTTGCCATCACACAAGGTGTCTTCATTTACTGGTAAGTCAAAGAATATTTTTACGCCCATTGCCGCAAATTTTTAACTTCCCCACGATTATATTTAGTATACTCAGGCCAGTACCAAAATTACCGACTCATATCAGTTCTTCGGTATTATTGTTCACACCCTAATCTGTGTCATGTAATTGGCTGTGTTGGATAAAGCATAGGCAGCTCTTTGTATTCCCACTTTTCAGGCGGTTATGTAGTTCAGACCAATGGCAGCCGAATGTTGGTTGCAGCTAGCAATTATACAGTGGAGAATTTGGAAAGACGCCAGGTGGGACGAAGGGACATCAAGTGAAGGCGAACAATGTGTTAATGAAAAAGAACAGTCTGATGGATAAGATCGAAAAGGACGTATTGTGCTTTTCACAAACACTCGTATATATAGCTAAACTTGACGTTTATTGTTCATAAATTTATTCAACCCGAAAAAACTTTGTAAATAGTACGTATTAAGTAATAAACAAATAATAGCTGTGTAAATTACGTCAGAGTTTGGTATTCATCCGTTTTCGCTGCAATTTAACTGATAGAAAAGCTCGAAATGGGGGCAGAACATTCTATGTAAATGAGAGCTAAGGGTTGTTACAAGAATCTTCTATGTTGACCTCTCACCGTTCTTCCAATCAATGGATGATACCAAGAACCTTCATCATGACATAACAAACTATATTAGACTGCATTTCCGTATCAGGACTAGCGCGTGGACATTCAACAAAGGTAGTTCATGAGAATAAGTATGACTCTTCATCTAGCTAAACCCGGTACGATGTTTTTAGAGACACAAAACTAGAAAAGCTTCTAGGGACAAACTACTTTACATTCAAAAGATTATTTATTTATCTTACGATATTAAATTACATAAAAAGAATAAGTAAATCACACATGAGTATATATATTCTCATCTCCAGCTATCGACGCGTAATTAAGCACACCACTCGGTAATCCACTTTCGAGCTTCTTCAATCATCTTCTCAATAGCATCAGAGTCGTACGCACTCAAACCAACTAATGCTTTCTTAGCCTTTTCATAACACAATTCCCACTCTTCCTTAAAGTCTTTCATTACAATCTCAAAATACGCTAGAGCAATACATGTGGACCAGGCGGAATCTTGATCTTTGCCTTGGAAGAGCTTATTGCCTTTTCCTTGTAAGAAAAATTCCGACAAACTAGTGGTCGGTTTGAAAAGTCCATCAAACGATTGGAATTTGATAAAGACGTAAAGAGTTTCTATTTTCGCTAGTTTTGCATCTGTTTTCGATTCGGACTTTTTGCAAGATTCAACCTTTTTGCAAGATTCAGCCTTTTTGCAAGATTCAGCCAACACCGCTGGGCATCCATCTACCAACGTTGAACTAGTAGCTGATGATACTACGTCCGCGGCCACCTCCTCGCACGCAGACTTTGAAGGAGCGTAGGCCGTTGCTGCACTTGGTGCTCTACTTTTCTTGGACTTGAGCGAAAATCGCATTCTCGGGAATCCACCAAAAGAAAAAACACTACGACTTCGACTTCTAAGCACAGGTTTTCCCCCTCGATTTGCGTCCGTATTGAAATAGTTGGAGAGTTGGACTAGTGCCCTATATTTGGCAGCCAAAATGGGAACCTCCCGTTTTTGGACTTCCGCTGTCGAGACGGTTTGATTTTCTCTTTCGTCAATTGCCAGGAAACTAGGAGAAAGTATTGATTATATAGTAATTAACGTGTGACTTTCATAAAAGTTTCTTCCTCTTACTTGTTAGGAAATCTTTCTTTTTATTTACCTTGTATACCTGGACGCCAAACTGGCATCGATCGCAAGCTTGACAATTGCATTCTTTTCATCATCGGATGACAATGTCTTGTTATATTTCGGATCGTTATGCAGATAACTTGTCTTATCTTCAATGTCTTGTATCAATTTCCTGGCAGCCAGAGTATGAATCTTGTCACCCTCGAGAATGACAGGATCAATTGGCACTGTTATTTTTACAGGACCATCGTGAGACTGCGCTGTAATCGTAATGTTCCGCGCAGGCTCAATGCCAGGAGCGTAAAGCGAGTACATGACCAGACGAACACCCTGATACAATGTTGGAATTACATACGGTGCTTGACGGAATTTTGCGCCTGCCGAATTGCCGCTCTCAGTATCAATCCACGAAACGTTGTAATCGGTCAGCGGTGGTTTCATAGCATTCTTAACCATGCCTGCAACTTTTTTGTCCATTCTCTCGTCATCGCTAACAAACTGAGCATACCCCTTTCCGACCCTCGCAATAGATTCCACCAGATTATGACTAACATTGCTTCCGATACCCAACGAGAACAGTCTCAATGAATTTTTGCGTTCTTTTACTTTCTTCTCGATCAATTTAACGATTGCATCCACGTTCCAAACATCGCCATCGGTTAATAAAAACACGGCTGTAGGCAGTTTCTTGTTCGTATTTCCCAGTACCCATTCTAGAGTTTTGAATAGCTCGGTACCACCAAAGTCGGCATTCATGCTCTGGGCGAGTTTGATGGCGGTATTGAAGGAAGTCTCGGAATAGGGTACAGATTTTTTGAATAAGGCAGTGTAATTGGAGCCGAACGAGACCACGTTGAAATGGCAATCGGATGGAAGGGAGCGAAGGATTAATTCGAGTGTCTGTCGAGCCTTGGTTATTGGGGCGCCGCTCATCGAACCAGATCTGAAAACGAATCAAAGTTTAACATGCATATGTATATGTAGACACATCAATAAGGCTGTTAATTATTACCTATCCACGATAAAAATCATTTCCGTCTGCACGGGTCCGGTTTCAATCCTGGGAACAAGCGTCAACATGGTGCAATTTGTCTTTGTCTTTGGATTATATTCGGTGAACGCCCTACGTAAAAGAAAAACGAAATCATCAATCAGGTCAACATTTATGCATACACTCTTATTCATAACCAATCCTGTTGATCTTACCTAAACTGATCCAAATCTTTACTCTTAATAACCAACACGAAATCCTTATCCAAGTAGGTTATCGCCTCGGCAAGTCCGACTCTACAAACTTTTGGATCTCCATCCAAATTAATCTCGGTTGCAATCTTGTGTGTAGGTGACTCGATGCTCAACAAACTCGCCGTCATACGACACGTAATTTTCATGCTTAATGTATAAAGTGCCGCGCTCGAATATCTCGGATTACCCTTGAGTAATTTCTTTGCAATGGTAAATCCTGAATTACTCTGCGGGTCGCCATAGCGAGGCGCAATAGCGGTGGGCAAGACAAACCGAACTTGATCGGAATCAGCATCCTGCTTAAGTTCGGTTACGTACGTTATGATGATTTTGATGGATTGATTTGGCGTAATGTTGCCGATTGAGCATTGGAAAACGTCAGGGAGCTCTTCTTCAAGGAGGTATGCACCATGACCGCTCTAATTAAAGAAAGAAAAAGAAAACAGGTCAAGTCGGCAACTTGCGCGTGAGAATTGGGGATGCGTAATTTACAGACGCTTGTCAAGCACACACACACATATGCTGTACTAATATTATTCATTGATATGCACCTCTATGGCTTTATCATAATCCTCGGCAGCCTGCTGAGCTTCTTTGACAACACCTTTGATCTTGCGATTGCCATCAATTTCAGCTTCAAACTTGCAAATTGCTGCAGCCTCATGAATTGGGAATTTGTAGATTGCTTCGATTGTCTTTTGTTCTTCGTTCTTGTAAGTCTGAGTTATGGTGACTTTGGGAAGGATCATGGGAAGCGTGAGTATGGTTTGGGTAGGGGGGAAGCGGGCGATTTCCGCTTCATTGACAGTTGAATTACAGCATTCTTACCCTCAGCGATCATATCAACCACTACAAATCAGTCGCATAATTAGATAGAAAATATTAGGAAAAAACATAGTTCGATAAAATACGTTCCAGACTTGATCATTGTAATTACCGTTTGCTTCGACGCTCACATTCTGCAAAGGAATAGGCTTTGGTTCGCATGTTTCAGGAAGAACATAGATCAATCCATAGTAGGGTTCCATTATATCGTTGATGTTTGTAAGGTAATTGTTGTCTGCACGGTTAACTGCATTTTCAGAACAGGAAACGTTATCATTATATGTGCGTTGTGAGTTTACTACGTCTGAAAGCAAACAGTTTGCCTTTATCCAATTAGAGTTACTCGTAATTTCTTTTGTGTCACCGACGTTTGTTTATGACAATGTAATGTTATGTGTGCAAATATCAAATTCAGGTTCTACAAAACGCTGCGGATAATTTGATGTTGATACGATAACGATAATTGTAATTACTAAGCGGTAAGGAAATTGATTTGATATACTGATATTGTTTGGGATTGATATCCATGGGTCTAGCGCCCAACACCATCAATTGCAAAATTACAATATGCGTACTCATGTTCTCGTGTAAAGCGATTATTATACATTGAAGAGTTTCCACGTTGTTATCAATATAGTACATTTAATCAAATAGTTCAATAAAAAAATATTAAGATTGGTATACAAAATTTATGTCTCACATGAATTAAAAATACTTGGTTCTGCGGCAAACAATCTATGGTTGTTGTGTTAACCAGAGCTTTTGAAAATACGCAGACCCTTGTTCTTGAATAACACCTGCTTGTTCCCAAAATGAATTATCATTATTATTAACGTATATATGTTTCTTTGTTATGCAGGCAGCAAAACGACATTTATTCTCACGCTTTTTAATTATTCAGGAATCAATGCGGTAATTTGGGTAATTTCAAAAAGAAGTAGGCTTTGTTTATGGTAAAAATGAACTCTAAAAGCGATTTCTCGCGATAGTCGCGTTTATTATCCGTCTGCCGCAGCAACATGGTTTCAATGCTCATTATTATCATCAGCTTGTTGACCGTTACCATGTACCAGGTTCTTTTTTTGACTCTCCTAACAAGGCTAGATTAATCAACGCACTGGTTAGACATAATATTATTGGCAACAGATGAAATGTATGATATTGTATTCATGGATGAATAGTTTCTATTGTGAACGAAACTTTCGGAGATACTCGAAAATGAATGTTGAAGAGCTTACAAAAAGCGTGCAATGAGGCTTACGTATACTTTCAGGGAATATTCCGTGTCTAATGTGAAACCGTATAGAGCTTGGGATAAAGTATCTCGGTGGAAAGGTAAGTATTTATGCCTTGGGGAAAGAGTTTTTTTATTTACAGAAACTTGACGATACTGCGGGTAAACCATGAGTACGGAATTAAGAATGATATTACAATCGAATCTATAATTTTTCTCTAATGTATCTCTCTAGAATAATTGAATTGGATGAAATGTGAATGGCATAATCATTACTAGCATAAAGTTTGAATCAAATTGCTTAATAAAGTTTAAATGACTTGATTAAATGACCTAACACCTAGAGCATGATCTGTAAAACAACCTTCTTTATTAGTTTATCATTCGGCGAGACTGCGATAGTGACAATTTATTGACCAAATTTTATCTACATAGCTGACATTACATTACGACCTGGACCTAATATGTCGCAAATCGTACCAATATTTTAATAAAATTGACAAAGACTATTTAATTTACTAACTTGCATTGTTCCTTTGTTAGCTATACAAGTAGGAAAAGCACATCAAATTGTATTTGTATTTTTGTTTTCTTTTATGCAAATAGACTCTTATATTCTGGGAGCAGTAATCATAAGCAGAAGAAGCGCTTTTGTTCAGTCGTTTCTTAAGGACTACATGTAAGTCTGCGGATTGGTATCGATAGTAATGTATTGTAATCTCAAAAGTCAATTGATATAGTTAGAATTTTGTAGTTGCAAACTGTGTAATAATATTATTATTCAAGTGTGACTTTACGTCGTTTGTATGTTTGAAGTCACAATTGTTAACGAAACTCTCTCCCACTCATAAACAAAACTTTAAATTATACCAAAACTCTGCTTAAATTACATGTCTATACGGAAAACGCTGTCAAAATAAAAGTTATTGACCCCGAAAATGAGAAACTGTTATTGAAAACTAGTCTCAGCGCGAGTTGGTTCAACTACTTTTCTTTTTCGGTCAATTTTGCTAATATTAATATTCAGTTTGTCCGGTGCTATGCCAAATGAATGTAATAAATAATTTTTTATTTACGATGTCAGTTTCTTTGACGATGCTGCGAGTTTTCATGTCATGGTCAAATTAATTAATTGTCAGCGTCGAAAATCTTCATCCGTTGTTTGTACTATTATACTAGTATGGTTGAAACTACTATAAAATTGCTGGCACATATAATATGACAAAAAGTATGAGAGAGAGAGAATGAAATATACGACAACGCTAAATCAAAAAAAAAAAAAGCTATGTTGAACTGAAGCTGCTAGCTTGACAAGGGCATGTCTGGATATTTGACGAAAGATTAATATTTACACGGATGAGAAATGCAGTTATTATGAATTAAGCTTTTGTCTGAAAATAATAAATTAATGAAGGGGTTTTTGTTCTTATAATTACTACGTAAACGTACATTTTGCAATTATTCACTGACTGTAATTGGGAGTCATGTCTCGCAATGTATTAAACTGTCCATTAGTTAAGTAATACACTTATTTATTTGTAGGTGTATAAAATAACAAATATTTGTTATAGTTATAATTTTTCTTTGCAATTCGATTAAACAATAATAAAATACCACCACAGCGTCAAAGCAAGAGAATGTGTCGTCTTCACAAAGTATTTCCATATTACGTATAAAAAAAAACGACCAAAATAACAACTTATTATTTGCCTAAACACATGAACAAAGACAGTCATAGCCCATTTATATGTTGTTCTTATTACTGGAAGCACGCGTGTCACACAGCGTTGGTGATTCACCAATATTACCCGAAGCTCCGACCATCCAGCGCCCATTGACTATTGTTCGTACTGATAATATTATTTTAGATAAAATGTACGATGGACTTAACATACGCAAGGTATAGACAGCACGGCCACAACGAGGAAGAAGTTGCGGAGGTAATATTGTAGCTTGCTTTTGGCTTTGTCATATCGACGCTTATGGATGACGTATTCCTCAGTGATTTCCGATCGGCAATACAACATTCCAATCGACAGTGCAGCATAGAATCCGGTGTAATTTCATATGACGTTACTCAACACTGATGGCCCGATATAGGCATCAAATTGCACCGCTCCTAATAATAGGCAACATATGGCATACGAACTCGCCCAATATAGTCAACGTTTTGTACCGGTAATCTTACGCCGATATGGGCATGGTTTGCACCGCTAGCGACGTACAGAAAATAGATATATAAGCAGCGTGGTTTAGACGCTCAAACATTATCAAATTGTATCGAATTATTAATAAATGTTTCCTCTCAATACGATCATCTTCAGCTATCCTTTCTTACAGTTATCCTTTAGAATAGTTCTTTATATTCTAACAAATAAACGTCAATAATTAAAATGAATTTGTATTCTTTTATTTTGCAAGTGTATTCCTAAGGTTAACACAAGGCCAGAGTTATAACAAAAACGTTATCTGGGCCCTGGTTGCAATTTACGAATCTTGCAATCGTAATTGCGTGTTCTCGGCCTGAAGAATTATTATTTCTTATTCAACTACGCGTACATTAGTGAAAACTTTCCCAACTGAGTAGACTTTAGTTTGAATCTGACTAATTAGAACCAGTCAGTTATCTCGAGAGGAAATAACAATTTTACCAGATACGTGTATACGTTCGCTTAGACGAACAATACGTAAAGCCTTTTAAGGTCACCAACTCGCCTGAGATTACAGACCAGTAGGAGTGAGCCGAAACTCCATTTGAATCGCTAAATCTCAAGAGTGTTACACGATCGTTCTCCCCAGTGTGGCACTACGACAAGAGCAATTGTATTCTATACAAATGTTGGAGCTGTTGAAATACAGAGAAGAAGACAATAACCGAAATATTATAGTAAACATTCTTGGTGTTTAATGGGAAAGCACGTTAGGGTAACTTACTTTTTTGCAATGAGATTATGCGTAAAATTCTTACAATGGGTTGTCTTCAGCAAATTATCTGTAAAGTATATGTAATTATCGGAAAATGTAGCATACTGTATGCCTGTGAAAACTTGGGGGACTGCGGTGTACGTATATTATCAGCAAATAAAGATACATTAAACGAAGAATAAAAAGCTATTGATTCAGTCTAGAGCTTTTATTAACTAACTGTGTAGTAATGTCCTTTTTTCAAAGACGGATAATAATGATATATGGCGCGGTGACCCGACGTTGTGCAATTTAACATGATTTGTCTTTGCGTAGCGAGTTTACCAACCATTAAAACTTTTGATCCAAGTTTGGCCTCTTTTGCTCGAGATTTTTTGGAGGCGTATTGGCTCGCTTTGACCGGACTATAAATATTACGTTTTAAAAATGGTACAGTTTTTGTGTGCCAACCGTCTTTTACCAGTCGATGAAACAGATTTGATGCATTTGAGAATAATATTATTGTAATAGTTTGTTTATTTGTCTTTGTTAATACATATTTACAATATGAAAGAACAGACCTGATGTATTTCGGAGAAAATTTTGAGTAAGTGTTTGTATGCTGACTATACTTCGCTAGTCGATGATATTTTGGGTCATCATTTGGCAAGTAGAAATGTGGAATGGAAGAGAAAGTTTGTTTAATTGTTATGTTTGATGAGTTATTCGCAATGTCAATCTTTGACAGTTGAAAAATATATTAACGTATGGGGTAGGAAGTTTTGTTCAGGTTTATCGAATATCATTTATGATATATTTATACGTGGTTACAAAAATTGATCAAAAAGCAGAGACAGAACTGAATTTTTTAGTTCTTGAAATGGTTCAATGTTTGTTTTGGGGAAATGGGTAAGTGTGTTTATTAACAGACTTTGTGATATTCATCGACAAAAAAATCGAATAGATAAAGCAAATTTTAACTTATAGTTTCGAGTTTTCTAGTATTAACTTTAAACTCAATTTAAGCGAGAAGTACTTTGCAAAGTCTCAGAAATCTCAAATTACATAGTCGGTAAAAGTGTGTTTCTTGTTGATAGATTAGATCGATAAAGCGTTTATCAAATTCTCATGTTAAAATTATCGCGCCAATCAAATTTCGAGTATTGTTGCAGATTATTCTAGACTGATCTGCAAAATTCGATCAGCTTTTTATGAACAATTGCCATACGCAATGCATGTGAAATCTCGACCCATGACTGCTGTCTATTTAGTTACAGAAAAAAGCAAGCGATATACCAAGTTATTGAACTCAGTTGTTTTAGTATCGGCATAGATTATTTTGTTATCGCAATTACGGGTATTTGACCTTTTAAGATTATTGTCATAAGAAGCGTTACCAGGTGTGCGCCTTATTTTGTACATTGATTGTTTTTACTAATACTCTTCTAATCATAAATAACACGGATCTAGATAAGCAAACTATATATATTAACTCACTAAAGTTTCTCTATGCACTTTATATGAACAAATGTCAATATTATGTTTTCACATGGCGAGGACAGACGGAAGTACCCAGTTAGGTGCTTGACAATTATTATAACCAACTATTATTAGTATTCGATATATGATATAAAAGAGTCGACAAGAGTAGCCGTTATAATAACCTCACTCTTTAGCATTATTACAACATGTCCATAACTATAAAACAACTATACAATCAACTACGAAGCACGCTCAACTTGCGCAAAACTGAACCACGATCGATTTACATATTTCGTTGGATTGTTATACTTTGTTTTTTATACCTGTTGATTTCGTATACATATCTATTAACTTCGCATATAAAAAACGATGCCCCGCTTGTAACAACGAGTGTAGAGCTGGTCGACAATGTATTACTTCCATGGTTCTCTATAACTTACAAATATAACTTTCTCATATTTTGCAGATTTTTACACTCTGGTAAGTTTGTAAATGCATCATTTTGGCCAAGTGTTATTTTTATTATATCTACTACGTAATTAAAAAAAGTACGATAGTAACAATAATTTTTTTTTTTTTTTTTCAAAATAAGAAAATGGCAATGAAACGTTGAGTGATGACTGCGATAAATATATTATACAACCATCGTTGGTGGCAAATAATTCGTACACAGGTTACTTTAGGCCACCCGAGTTAAAAGTAGTGCCTACAGATGGACTGCAAGAAGCATTTTTTGTAATGGTTGTTACTGACCAAGAATTTTATCCTAACGTTACTGATAACAGTCATATCTCTTTTATGACAATTAATTTGATCGATTTGGGTAATAACTATAAATGTTCAGGCAATATAATGTATTAGTCAAAAACATGCTAAAACAGACTTCTCATTGAAAAAGGATTCGTGGAAAAATATTATGCAAACTTCAATAACATCCAAATGACAGAATCAACACTTCTCAACTCTTTGATGTCAGATTCACAACATAAAATCTTTTATCGCCAACATCATGATATAACTTACGCTCAAAATATCAAAGTATTACTTTCACGTAAATATGAAGCACTCTCTGTTTTTGGCATTCCACTAGCATTGGAGCCTAATATTATACCTTATATTACTACAAAATTAGGTAAGTTTAAATAAACTTAAGGATATTAACATTTATTTTCCTATAAACATTGCCTAATATATTTAATGTTTATAGAGAGTGATTCATTCTCTTACCTTTATGAAGGCAATGAATATGGTTCGATAGCACTAAGACCTAGCGGTTTTATTGTCAGAACGGAAACGGAACAGAGGTGAGTGGGTGGCTAGCTGTTATATATTTGTTAATGGTTTATTGTTTATATTAAAATAACTGTTTTCCTTATAAAATTACAGACCATATACGGTATGTTTTTGTACTTGTGTCAACCACCGACGTAGTTAGCATCGACTAATGTAATATTATAACACATCCGTAGATACTCGGCGCACTTGGTTTATTTGGTGGTGCGTGGAATCTAGCTATCGTAGTATACGTCTTTTTATTCGGTAAGCCTTAACATTATCGAATACGTAATACTATAATTTATGCACAACCACTTATTCAAATTATTATTTAGGCACACGCTCTCTGCATCCGTGGGGCTTTGTCCAAACGTATTGTTGTTGCTTGGCAAAACAAACTCTTTCAAAATTTCGTGAAACGTTCCCGATTATGCCTTTAAATTCAGACCCGGAAGCTTTATCAAGTAAATTATCGTTTCCAGATTCAGAAACTTTATCAGTTAATTTAACATCCCAGGTCATGACGCTACAAAAACGTTTGAACACTATGGAGTCATTTCTTAGAGAATACGTAGTCGACATATCAGATGTCCAGGACGATTACAGTCACAAATCGCCTGACGTTCATTTGCATAATAGTGTGGCGTCTTTACAACTTAATCAACAAGACACAACCGAATCTCAAAGTTCAACTGTTAGTTCAGCATGAACTATATAATAATTTTTTAAATAATTTGCGGAGTGTTGTTTAGAGTCTGGGCTATTTGATATACAACATACAGTAATTTAATAGATGAAAAAAATTTATTACTATCAATAAATATTTTTAAAGAATTGGTTTTGAGAAAGTATTGTAAACCAAGGCACATCGTTACTCCCGAATTATCCGGTAATCATCATGCCAAAATTGTATGACAACCGGCAATCATTATCTCATACCGGATATTCCATAATAGTGATTATTCCGGATTATCATAATCATAAACAATTAACCAAATATTCCAATAGCCATCATTAGTAAATTAACCAGATTATCCTAATAGAATTATTGGCAAATAGCTAGACCAGATTATTCGTATATTAGTCATGGAGGCAATCATCACATTGATAATTATTTCGCAGACGTAATGTTTCGCCGACAAACATTTCACTGACAAAGTCATTTCACTTACAAGTTATTTCATCGACAATTATTATTTCACCGGCAATTAATTCACCAATATTATTTCGAAATTATCCTTTTTTGGTAGTTAACTGACTGTTGATGCAATTAACCGATTGTTGGTGAAATATCGTCAAAATTATTGTCGGTGAAATGACCCTGTCGGTGAAATGACCTTGTCGGTGAAATAATCGTCAATGTGATGATACGGACAATCTGACATACATGTCCATTCGGAATGAACATATGGGGGCCATTCCGAATGAACATGCATGTCAGATTAGAATCATAAAGACAATCAGGTAACAACATTATAAAATTATTTATTAGCATTACAATATTAACTCTACTGCATATATAAACATGCTATGATACAAGAACGATGTACTAAGATTATGAGGGTGGCAATTTAAGTTACAAATGACAGCAGCTTTGCGACAAGCACATCGAGCCGTTGAACAGCTAGTCTTACAACTACATCTAATCTTGTTTAAATTGATCAAACTTTGAGCCGAAGTAGCTTTATTATTTGGCAGAATGCTTTGGGTTACAGAATGCGTTAAGTTAGTAAGAATGCCTTCAGTTACGGAATACGTTAGCGAATAGTCCTTCTATTGGTGCGGAGATGTAAATACAATTGTGAATATGCTTGAGTTACTGAAAACGTTAATGGGAAAGAACTGAAAAGCGAGAATATTAAAATAGCGTAATGTGATTTGAGCTACAAATACGTTAGCGATTTCTTTGATTTGTGTGGCAATAGCGCCTGACTGACATTACCATTGTGAAGGAATGCTTTGAGTTATTGAATACGTTAGTAAAATTTTCCCATTCGGTGTGTGATATTCAAGACTTAACCATCTCGTTTTAAGCTTAAGGTGGTGCGACACACACCAGCAACTTGTACGGACAGATCGTGTGAAAATTAACAACTCTGCGCTTTTCGATTTAGTGGTAGCTACTACTAACCTTTGTAGAGGACTTGATTTAAACGATAAACAGAATGGTAGAACAGCAATGTACTGTTCACTATCGCCGTCGTTATTTTGCATTTATTGCTTGAGTGAGTTGAGTTATCAACCAAGTTTGTGCTAATCACACAATTTGACGACTGGTGTGGTTTTCGACGAAGGATTCAACCATAAATACGACTTGTGGTTTTTGTCTGTATGTGCACAATTTGTCGAATAAGCTGATAATCAATAACGGCTTAGTCAACGTTTAGAATTTGTCAATACTAACTATACGTACGCTTTATCGAATTTCAATTACACCTCATTAAATGAATCATTCTGCGAGTAGTTGAAGGTGATTAGAAAATTCACACTATTTTTCTTAATCCTCGGCATTGGCATAGAATTCTGCAGTTTTTGTGAGAATAAATATTATTTTGATCACATGTGTTATACGATTCTTCTTGTGACAGTGATACATGCAATAAACGTTCTGAACTTTCAATATTTTACGTATGTAAATGCGGGTTTGGGAATTTGACAGAGTTTACATTGTGATATGATTACATATGACAGTAACGAAA